AAGACTTAAAGTGTTTCAGCACTCCACCCTGTACTTCCTTCCGGACTTAAAGCGTCTCAGCACTCCATTCTATACTTCCAGATTTAAAGCGTCTCAGCACTCCATTCTATACTTCCAGATTTAAAGCGTCTCAGCACTCCATTCTATACTTCGAGATTTAAAGCGTCTCAGCACTCCATCCTGTACTTCCGGACTTAAAGCGTCCCAGCACTTCATTCTATACTTCCAGATTTAAAGCGTCTCAGCACTTCATTCTATACTTCCAGATTTAAAGCGTCTCAGCACTTCATTCTATACTTCCAGATTTAAAGCGTCTCAGCGCTGCATTCTATACTTCCAGATTTAAAGCGTCTCAGCACTCCATTCTATACTTCCAGATTTAATGCGTCTGTACGCTCCACTCTGTGCTTTCAGATTTAAAGCATCTGTACACTCCACTCTGTGCTTTCAGATTTAAAGCATCTGTACACTCCATTCTATACTTCCAGATTTAAAGACACAACAGCCAAACATTTTCAGCTATATAGGCAATTGCTCCTCCCACAGTTCTTTGACCGATATGGCTCAGCGCAGTTCCACTGTGAATGTATAAATGAGATAATGTTTCCTCTGAGGTCATTTAATAAATCTGTTCGCCTTTTAAGCATGGTTGTTACAATACAGAGTTTATAAGTCAATTTCCTTTACTAGAATAAATCCTTGTTTTTGCTACTATCAGATTTCGTTTCACTGCCTTCATTAAGTCTACCTGCTAATACCAGCAAGCATATAAAATATTTAATCAACTATGACTTGTTATGACCTTTATAAAATTCACTTTTAACCTTGAAATGTTCATTTTCTTCTTCACAATGATAACAGCAAGTATAAATACGTTTTTAGAAGATTGAGGATTTTCCCTCCATGCATATGGCCTATCTCATCCCGATCTACATTTCTGATGGGCCAAGGGAATCACTATGGTGTCTATTTGGTAAGCTGGTATTTTTAATACCAGTATGATGCTATATTTTGTATTAAAGACGTTCTACTAAGGATAATGCATATCACAAAGCTTTAAATCATCGATAAGTCCTATCATTTATGTTGAAAGCTATCAATTATTTACTAGCTCTTGTAAGTTTATGAGAATGTTGCATGAGATTTGGTATTTTAATATCCTCATTGAGATACACCTCCTACTATTAATTAATTTCCTGCCGCTCACACTGGAGCTTTTTTTTCAAAGAACTGTAAGCTATTCAGTAACAAATGAAATAGTTGAACACAGTCTTTACAAAACATTAATTCCGTTAGTTTCGAATAAAACAGAGGTTGGCAAAAATCACTGACGTGTGTGCCAGAACCTTTTTTCAGTTTCACCCAAACTTTTCCCTTAACTCCCTATCAAACTTCTGAAGAGTTTCACATATTGGACTCATATCTGGTACGAGAAGGAGAACAAGTAAAAGGCCAAATCAAGAGACATCATGGCAGCGTTGATATCAACCAGAAGTATCAACTGTACTTTGCAGATCATTACCAGGACATTCCACAGCTGGTGGTCTTCCACTGACTGCATCCTTATCTTCCCTCGTTCTAAAGACCTTCTCCTTACTAATTTGTTCACACTACAGCCAAATATTGGTGGGTCTTAACCACCTCGTTCAGAGTTGCGTAGCCTGAATTCTCATTATATGTCTTAGGATCTGATTCAGCTTGCTAGCCCATACCCATAAGCAGACCCACTGGTCAAGAAATTCATATACATAGCACTTATTGATCACAGTCTATTGTGTTTTTCATAATTATCTTAGGGCTATAAAGAGACCCATGAATGGAAGGTGATGTAACTGCCACTAGCACAGGTTACTTTATCTGTCATCCTTTGGTAATATGTAACTTGGTCAGTTCAGGGAAATCATTCACTTCTACTTGAAGACTCAAAGGTTTATCTGATAACTCTTCAAGTATCCACAAGTATGTCCTTCATGTGTTTGGGTAACGTAGACTTTACACAATCATGTCGACCTGATTTACATTCTTCATGCCAACATAAGAAGGTGAATCATGAGTATATCTCATTCCTATGCTGGTGTTGTCCTTGTAATGTTGAAAATAATCAAGGGCAATTTTAATTAGGTTAAACAACAGATGGCAGGGGAACTGGTCTATAATCAACCTTTGCACTTACAAACCTGATAAAATATATCTAAGAGCTTGATTTAAGTTTTAGTCTGCCCAGTAGAGCAAAGCTTGCAGCTAGCTTGGTCTTTGGGGTTTTATCAACTTCATATACCTCAGATATTCCATGGACTGTAGCAAAGACAACTTATAGTCGTCTTTAATAAATCCTGTCACCAAATTCGTTTTCAACTACATAAGGTGGCCTCAGCAGATGGTTGCAGGGAGTTGTTGACGACCACTGCAATACATCAATGAAAACTCCTACATTCTGTATATCATTCTCAAAGCTAATGAACTGGAATACTCATCAAATGTCATTTTAATTTCCCATGACTTACTTCGGTCAGTGGACAATTCTTAGCTAGATCAAGTCTGTCCACAACCCATGTTATTAACCCTAGGGTGCTATGACAAGAGATCTGGTTAGTAACCCACACGGCATCCTGAGACGACTGCCATGGTGTCATTTATTGCCCTTCCATGATAGTAATTTGATCTTAAGAATCTAGTGAGTTCGAAAATTTTCACAAAATTCTAAAGCCAGGAAGCCTTTTTGATCAACCTCTTCTGTGTGTTTGCTTAAAAGTTTCAGTAATTCAATAAGTCTACCAAACCAGTGCAGTTTGTTTATGTCACCCACAAACCTCGTGGCCGTTCCTGTCTCTTTCGACAGTACCACGTTTGAAAAGGTAAATGAAATTGAAGTTCAAGCATATGTTGTCCAGAAATTATTTTAATAAAATTGTTTACTTCTGCTTCAGAAAAAAAAAAGGTCCTTAAACTTTTTCAACAACGGCTAATCAAATTCCATTACACCAATGGAAATATTGTATTGCAAGATGAATGGAACATCATGCCAACGGTACATGAGCTGAAAAGGAGTTTCAACTCATTCAGAAATAAATGCTAATACAATTGTTTACATAATTTACGTACATCTTTTAAAGCGAAAAAAACTAATTCGAACAATTAATAGCAATGAATCAATTATCGAATGCGTGAATTCAGTCTTGTTATGCTCCACCATTATAGAAATATCGGCAGGCCCATGTTGAACTACAAGTAAAGCAATAAACGAAGAAAGCACACTATTAATTATGAAATTATGTTAGAAGAGCATATCACAGTAACATTAATATACAGTTTCGTAACTTACCACTTAAGGGCTCTGATAAACATAATCTTTCTTTGCCAGTTGAGCTTGATATATAGTCTCTAAATAAGCTGTTTAAGAGATTAATACACATCGTCCTGATCTGTTAGTCAATGTTAGTGTACAGCGTATAATCTGATATTTAAGGATATTAATGTACAGCATCCTGATCTTTTAACTAATGTTAGTGTACAGTGTCTAATCTGATGTTTAAGGATATTAATATACAGAATCCTGATCTGATAACTAATATTAGTGTACAGTGTATAATGTGATATTTATGGATATTAAAGTACAGCATCCTAATATGTTAACTAATGTTAGTTTACAGTGTCTAATTGATATTTAAGGATATTAATATACAGAATCCTGATCTGGTAACTAATGTTAGTGTACAGTGTATAATGTGATATTTATGGATATTAAAGTACAGCATCCTAATATGTTAACTAATGTTAGTTTACAGTGTCTAATTGATATTTAAGGATATTAATATACAGAATCCTGATCTGGTAACTAATGTTAGTGTACAGTGATTAATCTGCTGTTTAATATAGTACAATTCTGTACATTAGTACTTTTAAGTAGTATATTAAAATATTATCTACGAATATTAATTAGCAGAACAAATTAATAGCAGAGTATATTAATATTCTTAAATAGCAGATTAAAAACTCTACGCTAACACTAGTTAGCAGCTCAGGATGCTGGATATTAATTCCCAATTGATTTTGGTGTACAATTGCCTTGTCTACTATGTAAGGCTATTAATAAATATACAGAATCCTTCTCTGCTGGTTAATGTTAATATACAGTATCTTGAGCCACTGTTTAACGAATTAATACATATGAAAATAAAATAGTTATTTCTAAAATGAACTTGTTGTTATCTTTCGACCCTCTTATCGAGCAGAGTCCATAGAAGTTATCCCCCCACAAATACCTCATTAGCATAAAGAACGACTGAAATTATTCCAAAGCGCTTCTAATATTTCTTAACTGCATTAGCACTTAACATAAATAGAATTTTCTCGTTTCTTTTTTATTAAAGAGCGTCTGTATTGAGAATAACTCAACAGCGTTTAAAAATGTAAAAAAAAAAAAATGACATTCGAGATATTAGACATTGAACCTTTACACATTTGGAGGATTTATATTAATTCATATCAGGTTGTAAAACATAGGGTGTAGCAAAAGAAGTGATTATTATCCTTTAAGTGATACATTTTGCGTTTCATAGCACGTAGTAGACGCAGTTTTCTAACAGCCAATAGCTACGAAGGTTGTGTTATGACGTAGATAAACGCTTTTACAAAGGTCGGTAAATTCGGTTAGTATCTGTGATGGCAATTGACTGAGAGGAGCAACGATAATTCACGTTACCTTGTCTTTGCCATCGAAAGTTCGCTTGTAATTGAATCTGTTGGACGTGTTGGTTCAACTGCTTGTTGGTAATCCTAAATATGCCAAGTATAATTTTTCTGAACTGTTTTTTGGCTGCAGTGTTGCTCGTGGTTGTTTCGTCGGGACTCTCCGGTGCAAGGGCTGAAGCTTCGGGCGACCTAGAGCCCGTGAACGGTGGGGCCTTGTGTTCCGACGTGAGGCAAATATTAGCGAAAAAAGGTGTCTCCCGTCAGGTACCGGATAGGGAAATTAAAGGTAAATAAACATATAATTATTTTTTAATAATTTTCTTTCACTTTTGAAAGTCGCATAATTTATCATATCTGTCACCTCGTTAAGACTATGCAAAGGTGTTCACAACTGTTTTGAAACGTGCTTTATGTTATACTGTGATAATTCGTTTTCAACCTTGGATTAAATAACTTGCCTTCGTAACTTTGTTTTGATCGATTACACTTTACAATGTAAAAATAAACAAATGCCATAATTTTTCATTCTTATTTTGTGTGATGTGAAATTTTAATCGTTCTAATTGTAATCGCAATGAGAATACATTGTCTTCTTTCGCGCATTTCAAATTGAATGTTTTTGTGGTCTTCAGTTCAACTGTAATTTGTAAATTGAGCACTGCCTAATCTACGGGAATTAGAGTGATTGTGACAAATGCTGTTACTGACACGTGAAAACAATCTAAGAACAAAACGACAGTTTTTAAAATATTTTTCTCTTACTGAGAAACCAACAACATCTATTTAAAAATTGTTTGTAAAAAAAAATAAATAAAGAAAAATCACATGTTTTGAACTTATGACTGGCGATATCAACTAATGAAGGTTTCCCAAATTCAAGTAATGCCTGTTGGCAATGGAGTTAAAAGAGAAGCGTTTAATAATGCATTGCGTCCCGTATCACAGGGCGCATAGAGATAAATTGAAACAAGTTATTTAGCGTATAGTAACTACATCCCAATTTTAATTTGATCGGCCAATTTTGTACCCTACTAGATGGCAGTGATTTCAGTCTATGTCTTCCCCAGAATGTAATAATGGCAGTCTCTAATTTTTCAGCTTTCTTACCTGGTTTACCAAATAACTCAAATCTACGATGCTTCTTATTGCTATTAAGCAGTTTGTCCCCCGGTGGGACAGCAGTAAGTCAACGGACTTACAACGCTAAATTCCAGGGTTCGATTACTCGCGGTTGTTTTTACACTTACAGATAATCACTAAGTACAGATATATTTTCTTTGCCCTGTAATGATAACCTGAGATCATACGAGTGTAAACTAGACAACGTTCTAGAGAAATCTATATTGTAATAGAAATGTTTGTACGATTATTTTATATATATCCTTATAATAATGTTTCTGTCCAGCTGTATAGTGTTAATGGCAGACCTGGATTGTGTGTGATGTGTGACATACTTTTCTTATGTGTTCGTTTTGTAGGTGATCATCTGCAAATATGTCCGTCCAACAGATCATGTTGTACCCGAGAGATGGAGGAAAGCTACAAAATGGCTGCAAAAATGGACTTCCGACTCAGGCTTCAGGGTAGCGGCTCTTATTTAAAGATGCTAATCGCAACAAGCGCCAGCCATTTCTTAGGTTTGTTACGTGTGTTTTATCCAGTTGTGCTACAACAATAACAGTGCGTGATTGTTTGTTTCCTGCTCTTCTAACAACTTCAACAGTATATGTATTAATTCCTCTTAAACTGAGTTAAAGGCATTCATTGAGAAATTATTAATTTCCAAATAACTAAATATATGTGTGTATTAGTATGTTTTGTAAATGTGTTTTTAATAATGCGTGTAAAAGTATGTGTAAGAAAGTTATTCTAAGTTTCTTTGCTTCATATGTCAAAATACACAACAGTTATTAGGTAGGTTAGCTGTATTTATTGGGTTTCTGTAAGAAATTAATAAAATATATGCGAACTTCTCCGCATGCCCCAATAAGAAAACGTTCTAGACTAAACGAGTAGTTATCGTTGCCGTAACTTAGTTTTTACTGAAAGTCCACGATGATTTATTGCAATGTTTTATTAATTATTAGACAGGGGGAAGTCCGGTTATCAGCTACTGCATTTTAAACATTGCCAGTAGAATGATAAAATCGTAAAATGCCCATGGCTCGACGGCTTTTTATCATATTATTTCCTCACGTCACGCTCTTCAGAAATGCATCTTTATCTTATGGAAGCGTCCTGGTTGCTTCTACAAAACTTTCTTATTCAGTTTAACTCGTTAAAAGTTTATTTGTCTGCTCGTCACTTGCTTCATGCGGTCTGCTGCGCATGTTCAATACACAATCGATGGCTGAAACCTGTCTACGCCAATTGAAGCTATGGTGTCGTCTTACACGAAGCACGCGTGGTAAGTGTGTGTGTTTTTGACGCGAGACGCACCAGAGTCGGTGGCGCTTCGCTGTGTTTATATTTGTAGGTATCTACTTGTTGATTACTAAAATGTGAACAGATCGGCATTTCTCACCTTGCTGTTTTCCTATTGGTTTAAATTGTACAGAATTCAAGTTAGAAGAGGAGCAGAAATGCGCGCTAATTATGATGCTGTAATAAACGTTAATGTACAATAAGTGCACACACACACACACATTTAACATTTGGTTTATTATACGCTGTAGAAATGAAAAATACTGCGTTTCGTAACCTAAGCCTAAACCAGCCAAACAGGCGTTTGACAGCTTGTACGCGGGAACTGGAAGCATGTGAGGATGTGGAGCGGCAGCTGTGTTCACTAACAAAATATTGCCATGCAAGCGACGTTTTCACGAAATGGTCATGTTTTTGTTAAAGTTCACTGACAAAGTTGATATACAACTCTTGCACTTGCAGCATATCCCCCCTCAGGCTGGACGTCCCGGATCCCGTGTTGATGTTTCGACCAAGCCCATTCTTTACTGGCCACTATGTAGAGGCAACAAGTTCATTCGTACCTGCGATTTAATTGTATTTGTCCAGGTCGATAGCACTTGGCAACAAAGATATCTTGTCGTTTTGTGTTTCACATAGCCGTAAAAATATCGAATCTTCTCATTTAGTGAGTTCGGAGATCAAACTAACAAACGATGACAATGGTTAATGGGTAGATTATTATTTCATGTTATGAATATACAAGAAGTTAGAGCTTTATTTGGTGGCTGGTATTCATGTATTTTATCCACTGCACATCACACCTTACAAACGGATATTTCACAAACAACGTACATTGATAAAAGAGGTCTTTTTTGTACTGTAACATTTACACATATAATTTCAGAAATACTATCCATTCACCCAACATACACGGTTGTAAATATCTTGAGAAGTTGACTTTGTACATTTGTGTTTGTGTGTATTTATCGATCTATATAAACATACATTTATTTAGAGAGGGGAGAGATTTTACTACTAGTGATTGCAAACGTTTAATACAGAGCATGATACAGTTGTAGATGTTTAATATTGACGAACAGAACATGATACAGTTGTAGATGTTTAATATTGACGAACAGAACATGATACAGTTGTAGATGTTTAATATTGACGAACAGAACATGATACAGTTGTAGATGTTTAATATTGACGAACAGAACATGATACAGTTGTAGATGTTTAATATTGACGAACAGAACATGATACAGTTGTAGATGTTTAATATTGACGAACAGAACATGATACAGTTGTAGATGCTTAATATTGACGAACGGAACATGATACAGCTGTAGATGCTTAATATTGACGAACGGAACATGATACAGCTGTAGATGCTTAATATTGACGAACAGAACATGATACAGCTGTAGATGTTTAATATTGACGAACAGAACATGATAGAGCTGTAGATGCTTAATATTGACGAACAGAACATGATAGAGCTGTAGATGCTTAATATTGACGAACAGAACATGATAGAGCTGTAGATGCTTAATATTGACGAATAGAACATGATAGAGCTGTAGATGTTTAATATTGACAAACAGAACATGATAGAGCTGTAGATGTTTAATATTGACGAACCGAACATGATACAGCTGTAGACGTTTATTATTGACGAACAGAGCACAACTCAATAAGTTTTATGTTAGTAAATAGTTTCAGTATCGACTACTCTTCAGTCAGAAAGTTTTGAATTATTTTATTTTGAGAATATGCTTTAGAGAGAAGAAAAATGTTTACCAGAATGAACATAAAAGCTGAACTAAACGCGTTCGACATGGTCTTATTTCGACCAGTATGTAAAAATGCAACTTGATAACATCGAGTTTGACGGTAACTGTTACACTATTCACGAACTATTAAGAGGGTTTAAAAATTAATAAGCTGAATTTCAAAACACCGAAAACAGTATTGTGAAAGATAACAAATATAAATATACAGTATCTGACCTATATAAAAGCAAGTGTGTGTCACGTCACGCTTGATTTCTCGAAATAAAGCTAAAATTAAAGCTAAAATGCATTTATCCAGATAGAATAGTTCGATCACTTTCTGTGCATTACGATTTTAGTGTCGGGGGTGCAAGGGTGCCGTGAAACCTTATAAGTGTAGTGAGTGTTGGCATAATAAGCCTAAAGTAAAAGTGTTGTGTAGGATCAACCAGCCTAAAGCCAAGTGCATCAAATTTATCATGAAAGCAAAACTATCGACTCAATTTTAACAGACCCTCACGAGCCAGTGGGGGACATCTTTGTTGAAAAAACCTAACAGACTACCCAATCCGGTTTTTCTAAATTTGAACTGAAATTTTTTGGACATGTTTTGGTTTAAAAAAGGCATTTCCTGCACTTTTTTAGTGTTGGGGCTGCAAAAAGTGATTAGAAGTTGTAAGGTGATGTATACTGAATTTACTCCCAGTGGGTAGACCTTAGTACTAGCTAGTATAGAGACTTGAGGATTCTGTATTTCACTTAGAAATTTATCAATTAACAAAGAAAAACTTGTCTCGAAAAGATACGTCCAAAACTACTCTCTTTGGGAGTTTCCGGAATGAACTTACTTTTAATATTCATCACGTTGTAGTGTAAAGACACCCCTTGGCTCTTGAGGGACGTGTTAAACTTAAATCGTTTCTGAATTAAGCTACTTTCTGTTATATCATCGTTTTAATATAAACAACTTTTTAATCAACGGATACTCTAAATTAAGAAAGCAACAAATATTTTTCCAATTTTGTTGTTTATACATTTTACTTTATACTTTCAGTACGTAGACTAACAACAATATTAGGCTATATGACATAAAAAACCATTATTGGAACGCAGTGTCAACAAAACCCACTGGCTTTTCTGTATATTAGAAATTGTTAATCTAGCTGATTATTAACAGTAATTATTATATGAATACGTCACGAATTTATTTCATGAATAATCTTAATTTTGATTGGCTCACAATAGAATTGACCGACGTTTGACTGCCTCGACTGCACTTTTCTGACTCGTTGTTGGTTAAGCTTGATTTAAAAAATTATATATTTCAGTTAGCTATGAAATTTGAGATTAGGGTATAGTATGGGGTGGGTAGTACTTGTCCCGTCATTTTTTAACGAAGTATAATCTAATTGGAAATAATTATGGAAATAGTGAATAAAATTAGTATAAAATGCAAATATTATGCGATTTCGCCCCCCCCCTCTATCTTATAAAAAATGAACAGCGCCAAATTATTGTCACATGTTGATAGTTTAAACTGATTAGCTGTATCTAATCAACCAGCTAGTGCCACGCCCATGATGCTTAAAAGTATTGTTCCTAACAGTAATGTGTCAGTGCACTAATGGATCTAACGACATAATTGTCACGTGATAAACATATAGAAACCAAAGTTTTGTTTGGCAAAGGTTACTCCATGTAACAGATAGCAGCGAAACTTCATGTTTCAGTAAGAAGTGTATGAAAATTTTGAAGAGTGTACATAAGACTAATACCCTTGATAATAGAAGCAGTCTAATTCTTTCAAAAATTATGTCAAATAACCCAGAATGTGCTTTTCATGTGATACCCCACATTTGGTTAGGAATCTTGCGATCAGAGGTGTGAATATCTCCTTCAGCACAGTAAGATAAACACCAGCTCGAAGTGACCACAATAGATGTGTAGCTTGTCAAAAAATACTGCTCAGGAGAGAGAACCAAAACAAGAAACCGAAACTGGGCAATGGGAGAAACAAAGTTTGAGGGGGGCACTCTACAGATGAATTCATATTAAAATTGTTTGGCAGCAATCTGCTTTTTTTTCAAATCCAGAGAAAAGAATGGCAACATGATTTACCTAAACCTACAATGAAGCATACTTGGAGACCAACACAAGAGTGAATTCCATCTCAGCCTGTGGTATTGGAGATCTACATAAAATTGATGGCACCCTGACAGCTGACAGGTAGCTCAAGAACAAGAACTGTTGGGGAGGGATTCTTTTTTTGTATTTTTTCTAGTAAGACAGTGATCCCAAGCATTCAGCTAATGTGGGGAAACGATACTTGGAAGATATAAGAAGCACTGGAAACTACTGCTTGGCTTGTACAAAATCCCAATATTAATATTATTACACACATTTTGTGACTCATAGATGCGTATCATCTGTAGGTTTCCCCAATTTCGTGTAATACT